TTGACATATCCTGGGAAGATTTATTTAGGTGAGAGTAGCAGAGTACACTGGCAGTATCAAATACACTAACAGGAGTAACAGGGAACCAATAGTGTCTGGATGGCGTGGTGCATGGCTGTCATCATTCATGCTTGCTTTGTGAGAATACAAAAAGATGCTCCTTCTTCCAGGCTAGCACAGTCCATGCCAGAATCATGGCTTGGAGAGTAGAGCAAGAGCCAGACTATATCCATTACCATGACATCTATTTTGAATCCCACATAGCAGTTCTGGACCAGTGTCTTTGGCAAAATGAAGCTCCCACCGGAGGGAGATCAGCAGGCAGAACTGTGTTTGTGTAAAAGCACACAAAGTCATCTTGCTTTGAGTGGTGGGATGGCCTGGGCTTCAGCTCTAAGCGAGATGAGGGAATTCATTTAAATATGCCCTTAGCAGACATTGAATGCTATGCATTCCATTAGATTATGTGAATAGAGAGGTTAAGAGAGAAATTAGACATAGTCACTGCCTTTAAGGAATCCATTGTTCAGGGAGGAAAGCATAAGTAAACACATAAGTGAAAAATATTATGATGAACATCCATATATAACATGTTTTCATTTATGTTTGACTCTTTATGTGTTTATTTCTCCTATCTCACTCATCTTTAATAAAATATTAAATACCATATTATATAGATTATGTATAAAACTGCATATATATTACAGTATATGTATTATGTGTGTGTGTGTATATAGACAGATCAATAGAGAGATAGAGATAGAGAGAGAGAGACAGAGGGAGCAGAGAGAGAAAGAGAGGAGAAGGATGAGAACCACAGAAAAGAGTCCAAACTTTTTTGGGATAGGACACAGAAAGGTCCAAATAAGAAGAAACATTTGAGCAGGGCCTTGAAGAATGAGTATAATTTTATAATGCATATGAAAGGAAGTAGAATTTCAGGCAGAAGGAGAAGCATTATTAGCAACATATAATTATGAAAAATTTGATGGTATGTGAGAAAACTGTGACTAGTTTTGTAGCATGGGAAAATGGGATACATGTTTGATAGAAGTGAGATAGGAGAATTAAGCCATTTATCTCACAGAGGGCCTTGTATCTCAAGCTATTGGGTTTGACTTAGTAATGTTTTTACAGAATGCCAATGTCCATAAGAAATTATATATGTTTTGTGAAATATACAAGAGTCTTTAGACAAATAAACTTGAGAATTGATATATATCATATGGTATACCCTTCCATGGAGATTGGCAATATATTAAAAAATCTAGTAGTAAAAACAATAATAAAATAATGCGTTTAATCTTGTTTCACAAATACTTGGAAATTGATATCTTCCTCTCACCTCAAACATTGAAAACCTATTAACAACTCTGAGAACATATTTCAGGAAACTTTCTAAAGACATTAGTATAGTCAGATACATGTCAGCAAAATGAGTGTTGGCTGCGTGGAGAAAAAAATGCAGCAGCAACAGAAAAGGCTGAGTGATCTAGGGAGGCGATGATGACGGTTTGAGAAAATAAAGCAAACAAACTAGGGAGAAGTTGCTATATTTTGAGAGCTCTTTTGAAAAAAATATGTATGACTAAGAGGTGTGGGGCTAAAGAAAAAGGAAGAGTCATGCCTATAAGTTTGGCTTAAATCTGAAAACACCATAAATATGAACACTTAAGGTGATTCCTCGGCATTTCAACAACTTCTTTTTGCCCGTCTTGTATGATATTCAGAAGTTCCACAAAGAAGAAAGTGGGTTTCTAGCTACCTATTAACTTTATTTTTAGAAGGAGCATATTGTCTTTGATAACCAGAGTTCTAGAGACAAAATTGAACCAACTAATAGGGCTTGTAGAATCCAGTATGAAGACTGCTCTTAGGGCACGACACCTAGGTTGCTCTCCAAGGTGCTGAATCAATTTGTATGGTTCTGTGAACTTCGCTGCTTCTGGTGCCTTTCTCCCTCTGAGTGTGTCAAACTCAGCTCTCTTATAAAGTAGCAGCCTTGTCCCAGACTGATGTCCCAAGACACAATTTAGCTACTATTTTGGCTTCCTGCCCTTGCCAGGACTAGCTGACTGACTTTTGATCAAGACAACAGACTGATTTCTCATCTGGACTCCTGGCAGAGCAGCCACAAGCTGCAGCCTGCATCCACAGAAGTTGAAAATATCCTGACAGGTAGGTAAATATTTCCTCTTGAAATAAAATTGGCCAGCCAAGGAAGCAGGTAAGTTGTTATTGTGGATAGTTGGTGAGCTGTAGAAATTCATTCTCAGGGTTTGTTTTAGTGTATCAGGTCTCAGGAACCTGAAGTTTCCCCTTGGCAGGCAGCCTCTTGGCTACTGGCTTATATTGAGCTCAGCCTTCTAAGGGACACACTTAGGAAATCAAAATGTAGTAGAAAAAACAAATGCTTATCTCAAGTGCTATAAAGTGGCTTGTATTTAGTATCAAATAAGTTAAATGCATTAGGGACCCAGAAAAGGAAAGATTATCATGGGCTGACATAATTAGGGAAAGCTTCACAACGGAGGTGGAGAATGACCTGAGCCTTGATGTACACAAGTAGACTTCATATAGACCAAAAAAAAAGAGGGTGCGCATTAATCACAGCATCATAGGTGTGGAAATGCCCATGACACATCCTAGAGATAATAAATACTCACTTCGTTCAACCCAGAGCTCCCTATCATCTCTATGCATAGTCTAGCTTATACTCCCCATTCACATCCACATGGAACCCCACTGCTACTGTACCTTTCCTCACAGTGATTTTATTATTTGTCTCATATAAAAGGAATATTTTTTCAAATACATTGACATTTGGAAGAAAATAATTTGAAGGCCTCGCCCAAGTGCTTTTGATATTTTCTAGAGGCATATTCTTCAAGGTGTAGGGAGCCTCTTAAAACTTCTGTTCCTCAAATCACAGCACTGACTTTACATCTTGGGTGACTTAAGAATGGTGAATAAAATATAGCTCCCATCTTGTAACAAAGCACATCATAGTGCAAACAAGAAACATTTAAAGATACACAGGAAATGCCGGCAGATAAAAGAAATAATCTGGAAGTGTGAGATTTGATGGGAGAAACTGGAAGACTTCATAGATAAAAGATATTCTTTTCTTTATCTTTTTTGTTTTTCCTTTTTTTTTTTTTTTTTGATGGAGTTTCACTCTTGTCATCCAGTTTGGAGTGCAATGACGCGATCTCAGCTCACTGCAATCTCTGTCCCCTGAATTCAAGCGATTCTTCTGCCTCAGCCTCCTGAGTAGCTGGGATTTCAGGTGCACACAGCCATGCCCAACTAATTTTTGCATTTTTAATAGAGATGGGGTTTCACTGTGTTGGCCAGACTGGTTTCGAACTCCTGACCTCATGTGATCCACCCATCTCAGCCTTCCAAAGTGCTGGGATTACAGGCAGGAGCCACCGCGTCCTGCCAAGAAAAGATTTTCTTAAGTTGATTTTCAAAAACTGTCTCCAAAGACACTCTTTTAAAATTAAATTATGAGATTTACCTAAAATTCTACATAGCAGAATTTCAAATGGCAATCTGATGGAGGTATTTTGCAGCACATATTTTCAGACCATCAATTTCCAACATTTCCAGAATTTTCAGACATTTATGTAAGAGAAATAGGCAAGGAAAGCACTAGAGCATCAAAGACACAACCTCAGGAACCTGATGGGACCAGCACAGAAAACCTCTCTTCTTTAGAGTTTGACTTCTGAGCAGAAGCAGACAGAATGGCCGAGAACTTTATTTATGATGTAAGAGGCACTATGAAGGTGAGGTCAGCACGGTATTGGGCCAGTCTGCACCAGGATTTAGGTATTGGATGGATTATTGTATTTAAAGAATATGAATACCTTAAATAAATTGATCAATACAATTCAGTATTATTTAATCAGTCACTTAAGTTGTGATGGTCAAATACAACATAGACCTTTCAAACAGAAAACACCTGGAAATTCTATCTACACATTGATAAGCCAAAAGATGAAATCAGGTGTGAAGACAGACTGCAAATATTCACCAGGTTTCACGAATCTGGCTAGCTGTGCTCCTCATCCCCATCCTTTCAAGAGAACCCTGAATAACAGTCAACTTTCTGGCTGGTATAAAGACTATTCTGAATTGCACATCCATCATCCATCAGTTCCTCACTATCTGTATTTCTCTTGACAGTTACACATATTCTCTCTTCCTTATTTATTCATGTCTTTGACTCTCAACACTCATTTAATTAGGGACACACACACGCACACTCTTCAGGGCTCCTTTTCCTTTTCTTTCCTTCTAGCTTTTGACTCTTTAAAATTTGTCCATTTGTCAATTTACAGAAAAATTCCCATTTCCATTTTTTCACTTTGTGCCACAAATAATCCTAATAATTGTGCTTTTGTCTTTTGCACAGGGCATCATGGAAGGTCTCTCTTGGGAATTCTGAGCCACTGCGAGTACACACAATTAGGTCTCAGGTGATCAGCTTCAGAAGTGCAGGGATTAAAAATAATGCTCTAGGAAAGCCTCAAAGTTGAACAGCTAAAAAAATTATTTCAGGGCTTACATTGTCTGAAAAATATACTCAAGGTAAAACAGGTTATTTGCTGATCTTGCCAAACCCATAAAGTACTACTGCACTCAAAAGAAAGCATACAAGATCACTTATTAGTGTTTCTTAGCATCTCTGGACAAGCAGGGCTCATGCATCTCTAGGTATCAATCATGTCTCCGTTCATTTTCTGCCCTTTTTTGTAGTTTTCTGCCTTTGGCTGTTATTCAGGGTTCTCTTGCCAAAATGAACAAAAGACAGCTGCTACCAAGAGTAGCACATTTTGGGTATTACTTTTTTTTTTTTTTTCTAAAAGAAATTCAGGTATAAAGAGGTGAGTGGTTTTCTCAGAGTACGTGTCTAGCAAATATCTATGTAGACTAATCATCATGTGCTTATCACCCACTCAACCCTCAGTATTATATAAAATAGAGGTGCATTTTTAAATATAGGTACCAAACTTTAATTTTCATTTCACACTCAAAACTCCTGTACAAAAAGAGGCAAAGCAGGCAAAAAGTTACAACGACTTCAGCAAACAACATATGAAAACTTCAAAACAGCTTTGGGTCTGTAATGGCCCTTACAGATGTAGTGAGAAAATTGGGTTCCAAGGTTTTGAACTCTTTAAGACAAAATTCCAATGTTTATTCCTAACATTTAAAAAATATTTGTAGCTGTACAGGATACAAGATTAAATGAGAAATCTCTGAATTCTACTGCACAATTGGATCCCAAGATTGGGAGGCTTAGTTTTTCTTTGGGGAAAACATGAAATTATTTTTACTTAAATGTGATGATGCATCAGTAACCTCAGTTTACCATTAATGTCTTAATTTAATGGTGATAACTAGGAACAAATGTTGATCAAGCATGATATTAACTAGTAGTTAAAAGGTAATATCCAAACCTTTCTTTCTGGTTGTTAATACTCCACCCCTAATGATTAGCACATTTGAAGACATCCATTTCCAGTTTTTTTTTTCACTACTAATTCCTAGTGGTGCACAAAGAGTTTCTCAGAACAGAGTCATAACGCCAAAGTAGCAGTGCATCTGAGAAACATAATTTTTACCTTGTTGCTTTCCCAAAAATAAATATCACAGTCATGGAAAACACTGTTTATTTGAAAACAATGAGACCTCAAATATGAAATATAGTTAACAATGACATTGACACTGTTGCTAGCACTTTCCCCTAAACCACCCATAAGTCTTGGACGCATGTGCATGCAGCACACACACATACACACAAAAAACCAAAAACAAAGCAAAAAACAAAAAACAAAACAAAACAAAAACTCAAACACAGCAATCCATGATTGTTCAATGACTCCTGATGCCGGGAGGACAGCCTGTTAGAATTTGTCTCCCACAATATCTCTGGAGTGGGCACAAAGCCCATCACCTGTTAGTGATCACAGACATTCAGTTAACCTGTCCTTCCAGTAATCAGAGACAATTCAGACCCTGGACTTCTCAGAATCCATGTACTGCTGAGTCTTGGCTTTGAGACAAGGTGGCCTGGCTACATTGAGGCAGGCCAGCAGCCCCTTCCACATGTTTGGTCCCATTTGTAGAAAGTCTAATTTAGAGTTATCAATGTGCTCATCTATTTACTCTGAGCTCAATCTAATTTGACAGGTAATTCCTCACATTTTCTCCTTTAGCCAGCTGAGAGTCAGCTGTGGTAGAGACACACGACATGGGTCCAAGTCCCTCATGAGCCCTGTGGTGGTTGGCAAGTCCTTTCCTTTCTTCAAGCCTTAATCTCCTCAGTCGATAGAGGGGGAGAAATTGACCCAATGATGATAAACATTGTGTGGTTCTATCTTTCTAGTCTAGACAATTGTTGCTCAAGTGTAACAAGTGACTGCCAAATAGAATATCTCTTAAGATGAATATCTCCTAACTTTCCTCAGATGGTATGATCACATATTCTGGCTTCCTCTAGGGTTTAGAATCCATAGGTTCAAAAAGGTCTTGAAGACCATCTAGCATATTTCTATTCTGATGACAGACCCTCCATCCAAGCAGTTGTACTTCTTCAACTTGAAAATCTCCAAGTAAAAGAGCCTTTTCCTTCTCTGTGGACTGATGTTTAGATGCAGACCAGGGAATCTTTCCTGCCACTTGACTGAACTCCCTTGCTAAAACAACATAAGACAAGTGTTTTTTCCCTTTTCTTGGAGGATCCAAGGGTAGATCAGCTGGTCACTAAAGTCCAGAAAGCAATGGTGTCTTACAGCTCCTTCCTGGGATATTGCAAATAATGCCAAACTCTGATGTATTCAGACTCAACTTCTAGGATTATCATTCACTAAACGTCTGGCTGGCTCCTTCTACTGGAAACAGGCAAGTAACAATACAGACCAGACTGAGGATTTACTTAGAAAGGTTGAATCCCATCCCATAGTATGTATTCACAGCCATATGGTATAAAAGGAAGACCATGGAGTCAAGAGTGAAGCATCCTGGGTTCTAGGCCCGCATAGGAGCCATCCAGTATGACCACACCCTCTGGGTTTCATTTTCCTTAGGAGGTCAGAATCAAAGATTTTCATGGTTCCATTCGAACTAAGCTCTGATCTACAGACAGAATGACTGCAGGTTTTATAATATTGTTCATCAACAAGACAAGGTGGGACAATGCTTGCTGGATACTACTTCCTAAGGAAGAAGGGCAGAGTCAGTCGTTTTATTGGCATTAACCTTACAGGCCTCTTGAAGATTGTTTTAATTGCCCATTTCAGAGACAAGGAGGTTAAGACTCAGAAAGCTTAAAAACGTTTCCCAAGATCACACTATGAATCATTAGTAAGGCCAGGAGTAAATTCAGGTGCACCAGAGCTTTCACATTTCAACAAGCTAGCAACGGGGTTGGGGAAAAGCTACTTTTTAAAAACCTGGGAAACAGAAAACATGGATTTTTTCCCCCTCTAAATTCCCCTATACCATTCTGGTAGCTAACGGAGTACCCTAGACCTTTTTTCTTGTAGGGTCTTCAGAGAACAGGGCTCCTATGAGGGGGTGCTGTGCACCCAGCACTCTGCAGGTAACTGGAAGTTGCTAAACTCACAAATAACTTCAAAGCCAGAGCTCCATTTCCCTAATCCCTATAGGCAGAGGGCTGAAGCAGAGAGATGGCTGTCCCGTTGCCTGAGTGCACCTCTGTGGACCTGTCTCCCAGTTCCAAGACAGCCACCTTCATCAGTCCAGTGGCAACAGCACATCTATCTATTTCTGCTGCTCTCCTACTAACTGATTAAAATACAGGAGTTTTTTTTCTTGTGAAATTAAAGGAGAACATTAAAGGAGAACATTAGAGGGATATAAGTCCAAACAGAAAAGGAATATGCTGATTAATAAAACACGTGCAAACAGAAAAGTTGCACGTGTGGACTCCAGTCTGAGGACAGAGAAGGGGTGTGCTGAATTCAGAACACTTGGGTTTAATTCTCCACATGCATTTTTCTTGGATTCCCCTCTTCCTCTGTCAAGATAACAGTTGTGTTTCTTGTAGCTGAGCCGACACAGGAAATCAAATATTTTGTGTTTCTACAAACTATACGTCCCAGAGAGATAACACGTCTAGAATTAAAATACTACCACAAACAATTAGGAATTTTTTATCATTACAGGTGTTGTTAAAGGACTCCAGTAGCAAAGATCAAAGTCTCTGAATTTTGCCTTTGGAGAAGGGGGTTTCATTTCAGACATCAAAGGTAAGGCTCTCAAGTCAATTTATGCTCTGCTGGGTTGAGTCAGTTAGGATACAAATTAAGGTCCATATATTTCAATGACAAGAAGGAAACGGTTATGTAAATACACAAGTATTAACATCAATCTGTATTAAATTATGTAAACATATACATCTTCTGAGGTCAGCACATAGATCCTCTTCTTTGAGCAGAGCTCTACTGAAGCATTGCTCGAATCTGTTTGGAAGTCGATTCATCATTCAAGTGCTTTGTAGTGAACCTGGATGGAGACAGAATGGTAGAGGTTAGCGGCAAACAGTGCTCTGTGTAAGCTCCAGCCCATCTTTACCTTGGGAAACACAATTGATATGTGGGCTTATTTCTTTAGACAAAAATCCACACTTCAATGCTCACAGTCATTTCAGACAGATTTAATATTTGATTCTTCCTTCCAAAGGAATTTTGTATCATGGTTATTAAACCAAGTAGATATTTTACATAATCAGATAATTACACAGAGGAGATATGAGCGGTCTCATTTACCAGGGAGGTGGATTTCACAGGATTGAGTGCAGAATCCTGACCATTGAGGCTGCCCCTGCTGACTCACACATTTCAGAATAGAGATTTGCATAGCAACATTGCCCAGAACCTGAATGTTTATGGTTCTCCACTTTCCTGGCAATGCTTAATTAACCTCATTGCCACCACAAGGGGGCACAAATCCAGGTAAGCAAACCCACAAAAGTGGTGCAATCTGCAGCCTCCCAATAGCCGGGTGTAGAAATCATTTATGCAAAAGAAGGAAAAGAGAATTAACACGTAATAAAACTTTGGCCAGGTCGTGGGCACTCCATGTTAAGTTTCGTGTTACAATAACTTTGTAAAGGTAAGGTTATTGCCTTCATTTTATAGAAAAGAAAACTAAGATTCAGAGAGGTGAAATGACCTATTCCAGATCACAAGGTTACTGATTTGAGATTTGTGATTTGTGATTTCTGATTCAAACCCACATTTTGCTATCTGGAGAGCCTGCTCTCCTCTGACATCATCACAGTGCCTCCAGGAGGCACAAATTCTAACAAATCAGATGGGACTCATGGCCTACTACAGGGTTTTGCTTGATTGAATGAAGCTGGAAAGCTCAACACATTCAGAAGTTAAAGCTTTATTCCTGTGTGTAAAAAGTCACCCTGGTGTGAAATGGACACCAGGAGAAAACCCTGATTTTTCCCATAGACTCTGGAAGGCTCTTATATTAATACTAAGTCTCTTCTAAAGGATAATGACTTAGCAACTCAGCAAAACAGCATCAACCTCAGGGTCTCTTTTGTTCATTTTGTGTGTCTCAGTTTCTTCATTTATTAAGTGGGGGTAACAGATCAGCCTTACCTCTCTAACTTGTGATGATTAAATGAGACAATGTGATTAGAAGTGGAGTATAAAACATGAGTGTTGTGTACATAGGTAGAGCATTATTGATCCATCCCACTTAGACTTATTGAACACTTACTGCATGTACAACACTGAGAGGAACACAGGGGAATTAAAGATGAATAAGACAACAGGGACCATAAACCTTCTAGACTGCAATCTAGTATCAGAATGATTTACATAGCAGTGTGATTCAAGCAATTCTTATAGATGTGTCAAAGCTAAAAAAAGCATCCCCTCTCTGAAACGGATTAAGCACATGCATCCCTGGGAAGAAAGCAGATGCCTAGGCATCACTTGTTAGCAGTGAGAAGCTGAAACATGCCACAGCTGGCCAAATACTTAGGCATCTAGACAGTGGGTTCTCAATTCTGGTAGCTGCACATGTGAACCACCTGGGGAGCTTTAGAATAAACAAAGAAACACAAAATGGATACCTGAGCCCCTAGCCCAGAGATTCTAATTCATTTGGTCTGAGTCACATGCAGTCAGAATCACATGGAATGTTTTCAAAGGGTACCCACATAATCCTCAAGTGCAGCCAGGTTTGGAAACCACTGGTAAAGTGGAAAGTGAGAGCCTGGAAGCCTCTTGTTCTGAGGAGTCCCTATGAGCCCCAAAGCAGTGTGGCTGAGAATTAGGTCCATGACCCGTGGGGTCACCCAAACCTGGGTTTAGGTCCTAGCTTGGCCATTTACTGTGTGACTTTTGGCAAGTTATTTGACTTCCTTAAATCTCATTTTTTTCCATTTTTAAAAAGGGGAATGATAAAAATGGTGCTGACCTCAAAAGATTGTTAGGAAGATTCAGTGTGTTAAAATATGCAAGGGTTAAGTTTGGTGCTATCCACACCAGTATTTAAATGTTCAATAGCCCTGAAATGTTGGCTGTTCCCTGTGAGCCTGACACAGGGTTGAAGCTCACCTGAGGGCATTTAGCAGCCCCTCCACACTGTCTGGGGCCTGCTCCTTCAAAACTTTTATGCAGCCTTTCATCTAGGAGGAGAAAGCACAATGTTTGTTAATATCTTAGTAATATTGTCTATGCCAATATCTACCTACAATAACACATGCCTATAATGTCACATTATTTCTTCTCATAGAAATTCAACACAGAAATGACCAACGGGCTTTCCTACCCCCTCAGGCTGGTGAGCAGTTCCTCTGGGCTTCTAGAGGATTCTGTATGACTGCAATCATTATCAATTTTCATGCCCTATTGTAATTGTACATTTTACTTGCCTGGCTTTAAGGACAAAGACTTGAGACTTTGATCTTGCCTTGTACTATGGAGGCAAATGCAGGGCCTTCCGTCCACTCAGTGCTCAGTTGAGATTTACTGAATAAAATCAGAATAATTTTATGCCATTCTTCTGCCCTGAATGTTTTCTGTCCTTCACCTGTTTGACTGGCAAACCCTTAACACTTATTTTATACCCAGCTGAAGACCAGCACCTCCTAGAATCCTATTCTGACCTCATTACCCTCATTAGATAGAAGCAACCAACACCTTTCCGTGCTCCCAAAACTGCTCTGTCATTTGTCAGAGAAACTTGGAGAATTTGTGCCCATATTAACTTCTTTCCTTCACTAGACCAGGAGCTCCTGGAGGTCCAGGTCTATGTCTCAACCATCTTTGAGAGGACTGATGAAGGGCCACTGTTCAGAATGTGAACTTCACAGAGGCTAAATGCCTGAGTTTCCTTCATGCTTGTTTCTTCAGTATCTTCACAAACCTAGGCAAGTGTCTTAGCTTTTTGTGTCTGTATAATACAGTTGACCCATAATTTGGGAAGTGCATGGAAACTGAATTTATATAGATTACATTTCATCATGCATATCTTGGAGTATTTTTTGGCAAGGCAAGAATCTTTCTGCAAAGCTATTCACACACTGTTATATATTGGATTTGGTTATACTAAGGGCCCCTTTTGTGACAGCCCTTAGAAACATTCTCCATCATTGTGCTTCTTGTATGTCAAAAGCTTTATCTTACAGGCCTGATAGACCCTGATAGACTGATGGAAGCTACCAGAACACAGGGTTGGGAATCGTGAGGATCACTATAGGTTTATCAAAAAACAAAGTCATGGCAAACGAGAGATGTCTGTCATGCATACCGGATTGGGAGAAGCTACAAGCATGCCAGGTATGTGCCACCCCAGGCCTGAGATGGCATCAGGCCCAGGGATGCAGAGATTCTGTCCCTCTCGCATAGTTCTTTATCATAGTGCGGAAGTGTTCTTGTGAACCAGGCCTAAGAAGTAGTGAGAACGCAGATGTGGAAGGGGTGGAAGAGCAGGGAATACTGTTTGGGAATCTGGAGTTCCACTTAGGGTGATTAAAACTGTAGGTGTGAATAACAAGATGCTGTCAAGGATGCAGTTGGGGCCAGATGCAGTGTGAATTCAACAGCATGTTCAGGAGTTGGGGGCCTTTACCTGTGGAAAACATCCTTGATAGGTGTTAAATAATCTAGTGATGTGGTTAATATGGAAAGGGACCAGAAGGAAGCAAGAACAGAGAGAGGAGGGGCAGTGAGAGCCCCTGAGGGTGTGAAGTGTGGAAGCAGCAGTGGGCATGGAGGAGCAGGGAGAGACAGGGACTAATCTGAGGTCAACTCCATGGGATTTGGTGACTGATAAGATATGCGGTGAAGAAGTCATTCCTCATTCTCAGGGACAATTCTAGGCTCCGGATTAGACTTGTTGGAGGGTGATGAAATACCTGAGACAGGAACCCAGCAGAAGGAACAGGTTTGGGAGGGGAGGGGAATCTCTGGTTTGGGGATGGCCATATTTCAGGGGTCCATGGGAAATGGGGTCTGGAATTCTGGATAATATCTGAGATGGGGACAGGGATTAAGAGGTGATTCCTTATTGGGCCATTTCAAAAGATTCCAAGGAAATCAATTGAAAACACCACCTCACCCCAACCCTCCTTTCCTGGCATCCACAATTAGCATCTCTTCTCTAAATGGCTTCTGCTGCCTTGGCGGCCACTTTGATGATTCCCCCTGCCTGGGGGACTCTGCTTTCCCTCTGTCCTCCTGGGAAAATCCTACATCTTCTTCTAGGTCCACCTCAAACATCACCCTCTGTCTCTGCTCTTCAGCAAAATGAGTTTCTCCCTCCCCTGGCATTCCAGAGCTCACTGCATGTTTATTCTGCACTCCAAAGCATGCCCTTTGTAAGTACACACACAGTGCCTCCCCCAGGCCCTCAGAAAGAGATCCTGGGGTTTTCACAGTTGATGCTGATGCCCTAATGATTTATAAGCCCAGTGCCTATAACTACTGGCTTAGAAACAGACTAGCATCTGAATGGAGACCCTATACGTCATTAAAAAAAAGGTCAGTCTCAAATGGTTTATTGTGCTGGTAAACCTGAAACTTTCTTAGAGGTACATGCAAATGTCTGTATGAACAAACCTTATGTAGTGAGACCTCCATGGACAAAAGCAAACTTCATCAAGACTATGTGTGAAGACTTAACATGATATACTGTTTACAGCCTCGACTGAAAGGCTCAGTAAATAACCTATAAACCAAGCTTTTTAAAGATAAGGGCTACAAGGCATAATTTTACCCAGTGTATTTTTAATTGTTGACTCTGTGACAAGTTAACAAATGACTATGGCAATGAGAATATCTTATGAGTCTCAGGTAATGAACTCAATCCACAGTCAAATAATATTTATAGAGTTATTTATACTCAATCTATAGTACGAAAATGTTAAAGCCTCACAAAGGATACAGTAAAAATATTTATTGGTATAAAAATGCCCATAATATACTTCTCTGTAAATGAAATATGTTTCAAAATAGCACGTAAAGCAGGGTCCTAATTTGTTAAGGACATCCACACACACACACAAGCATCTACATTAAAAGAAGGTACACATGTATGCTGCTGTATGAACGGTGATCCTCTGCCTATGGTGAGGTTATTACAGATATATTTAATTTACTACGTCTTAATTTCCTAAATGTCAAAATTTTTTAACATAAATACTTACTTTCTTGGTAAACAGAAATGATTACATTAAAAATAATAAAGAGTCTATGAAGAAACATGACTAACCATACTATGAACCCAGAAACTCAAAATAAGTAACCCAAGTTACATTTTTCATTGATACATTATCTTGCATTCTTCAGACTTCAGACTTATGGTCCTCCTGGGCATGTAGACTTTCTCTTGCATAGGGCCAGAGCATCAGGACACTGTTCTCTGTAGATGAGTGAACACAGTGTGCCACCCAGACTCAGCTATTCTGGAGTAAGTAAGTTACTACCAAGAGGTGCTATTCTGCACTTTAAAGGCTTTAAATGAGTACATGGGATACACTATTGGGTTGGTGCTGCAGGCAAGTGCTGGATGAAGAGGAGGTGTGCTTTATGCCACAATCAACAGAAAAGCAACTGTGCGCCAAAATAATGTGTTTTCAATTATCTGCATTCATTCATTCATTCATTCATCCATCAAAACCCCTACAGGGTGTCTGTTGAGTGCCACCCACTATGTGCCAGGTACTGTGTGAAGCAATAGAGCAGACATGAGGTGTATAGATTATGGTCTCTGTCCTTGTCATGAAATTGTCTGTAGGGGAGTCAGAAAATACAAAACAGTGAGTGCTCTGGGGGCCAGAGAAGCAGGAAGGCTCATCCCATGCAGAAAATGTGTTCTTAGATGAGGTGACGTTTGAAGCATGCCTGAAAGGAACCCACCCATCGGAGAGGAAGAGGAAGGGCTCTCTGGGCAGGAGAAAGGACTCACACATATCATGTATATCCAAATGATGAGGAAAGGCATGGGACTTGAGTGGAGCAACAGGTAGGGAGTGGTGGGAGAGGAAGTGAAAGGGTAATCTGGGATTTGACCATGGTGTCTTGTAATGCAGTATCTCCCAACTCTTCACAATAGGACACATATAGAATAGAAACCATCTATTTGTACAGCACACTGGGTAAATGAAGGGACTGCGTGCAGCTGAGTGACTGTCCAGCTGCTCAGCTCCATTAGAGCCTGAGGGGATCAGCATCGTAGCATTGCTACTATGCTTTTGAGGTTGAGTGTTTTGTCCTAAGCACATGAAAAAGCCTGGACATCTTGCTGTGAGGACAGCTGCCAGGATGGGCTGTGCGTATTAGAAAGATCACTGTCAGTGGAGTGGTCTTGAGGAGCCTGAGGAAGAGAAACAAAGTCTGTTTGGCAACATTCATGGGCCCTTTATTTGGAAAGCACATTTCACTACTATTCTTACATCGATCTTGGACGTCTTGCAGAAAGCTCCCACAGGGTGGACATGGTCATAGAGGATGATGACTCCCACCATCACCCTCATGCAGAACATCAGGGTCTCTTCACTCGTAAACCTACTTCTGTACTCCCTGCAAGAGAAGAAACAGCAGCGGCATCACTTCCTTGTCAGAACATGTGCGTTCTTTGGCCCCACAACTGGATACTTTAGATGCCTCCAATCTTCTCTTGGGAACAATCTCAGACCTGCAACAACCAGTTAATATGTTCCTGAGTAAATCCATGATGATAATTCTCCTTGAATCTATTCAACCAGCAATTCAGTGTGAAAATAAGGTAAATTAAAGGGCAGTAAATTCCCTTCTCATCTGCCCTTCAGCAGGCTAGCTCATCATGTACATCACTCCTCCACCCATCAATCTTGAATATTTTATAGCAGGTCCTTCTGGCTGTCCAAGATTATAGAGAGTAATGGTTTCATTACAGAGAAAAAGAATCAGGCTCATTTCTACGGAGCAGCTATCATGTCTCCAGTAGGAGTAACTTCCTTTGTTAAAACACAGGCTGCAGATTGTATTGGATTGGCAAAAATACCTAAAAAAATTATATACCATTCATTGAGCATCCGAGAGTATTTGTAGAGTTTGAATTTTGTTCACTTACCTTGACAGGGTCACTGATGATTCAGATAATTCAGGCCAATTCTAGAGGCTTTTTTTCTAGAGGCTTTCTTACATCTATTTCATTATGAATTGGCTCTGCAATGAAGATGATTACTATTTCTGCCTTGGAATAAATCTTAACTTTGGTACAAGTGAAATATTTGAAATTAGTGTCATCTTACATTTGAACAGGCTATCAGATTTTATAAGGTGCTTTTGATGCCTTTGGTCTTCCTAAAGACTCTGCAGAGTAGACGGCCTTATGGAAACTTTATTAGATGAGGAAACCAAGGCTCAGGGAGTCAGGCCAGTTATTTACAGGCATAGTAGGGGCTACAGACATAAGTGGCATTCAGAATTTCGAGCACAGATTACCATGCTGCTTCATCCCCAATAGTCTCAATAATTTTTAAATCTAACTAGTAGTAACTAGCTCAGGTACAAAAAAAACTTGGAGAGAGAGAGAGAGAGACCTCCATTCTCACTCTTGAAACAGTCTTATCATGTCAACTCTTGGTTTTACATCTTATCTACAATATATTTATCATGATGCCCCATCATTTAACACACCCTCCATTTGGTTCTTACACATCTTCTACAGCATCTTTGATCTGAGCCTTGGTTCTGCCACCTAACAAGCTATGCAGTCATTGGGATGTCAGTCAACCACTTTGGGCCTCAGCTTCTTCAGCTATGCAATAGTGATAGTGACACCTAACACCCAGAGTTCTTAATGAAATTAAAGCAGATAATATACATGAAAACTTTAAGGTGTTGACCCAAATGGTACATGTCATTAACATCATCATCTTAACAGACACTGGCTGGGTGAAGTCTCAACCACGAATACACCTCTGATTTAACTTACGGAGTTTCCAGCATGACTTTACAGACACTTGTCATTGTGCTGAGACAGTCTGTGGTGTTCTCTATTGGCAGGGTTTTGTTCTAAATAGGAGACACAAATGTACATTAGCTCTGCTTGCAGCTCTTGTATGGAATTAAGAAAAAAAGCACCTCGTTGCTCAACTTCACTTACTTCCGAGACAAAGTGCATCGTGGCATTGCTAAGGGTTTTCAGCATTGGTGTGGCTTCTGCATAGAAGAGGGACATTCTATTGGCCATTTCATTATTGACTTCATTCTCAATGTCTAGCTGATGAAAATAAGAAAAGAAGACGGATTTATAAACAGAAAGTCAAACGCTCCAAATACTCTTCTCTGGAACTGAATTACAGACAAGGACATTGTCTTCTCTCTGTGCTCTGCCTGATGCAGAAATCAAAAGAGCCATGGAGAACGGTGCCAAGTTCAAGGCGACCCAGGGACTCACGTGCATGTTGTTGATGCGGTTGCGACTGATGGTTCTTCTGTAGTAGCTGAAGTCATTCTGAATAGCCGGGTTCCTCATCTGAAATTCAGAAGACAAGAGTGAAAGTCCTCTCAGTATCAGATGGGGGATATGCATTAGGAGCCCAGACACTGGATTTTATAAATACTCCAGGACTTCTCTTTGTTACATAAGAGCCAAAGCAACTTTTGGTTAAAAATAAGGACCCACAACTTCATTATTTTAAAATATGCCCTGTGGGCTAGATTTCAGGGAAAGTATATTTGGTCTCAATGCGGAACAGATACTTGAAAAGGTTTTCTCTGATTTCATTTGGCAGATTTAAAATTTCCATATACAAATCATCATCTTAAATTACTTTCACCACATGGAATGCAAATTCTCATCACATTATATGTCTCTCTAGGGAAGGAATTACATCTTACTCATTTCTCTACCCACCCACCCCACAGCACTAACAGAGCAGCTGTAAACAGTAGGTACTCAGTACAAGTTCCTTAAATTTTCACAGCACATTTGGCCTAACCTTCAGCTCATCGAATCGAAGGGTAAAATGTAAAATTTCGGCAAACTCCTTTGCCAGGGCCTGCTCCCTTTCCAGGTGTTGGGTTGGTGTGTAGGGTGGACAAGTCAGAGATTCCAATAAACTCTGAAGAGCTTTTTCTGAAAATCAAAGGGATAAATAGATATATTGGAGGTGGCCCAACGAAGTCCAAATAATACAATTCCCAGACTCAGTTGACAATCTCAGAGATCACCTGTTTGGGTCTTTCCCGATAACTACATGAGGTGTGCTGCATGTGGACCAGGAAGAGAAGGAATCCCACATGACCAGGCAGGGGGTCTCCCCTGCGGAAACCCCCCATGGCCACAGTGTTTTGTAAATTTCTCTCTACGCTCAGCTGGACCTGGACATATTTAGTAATCTCAATTTCTGACACTGTTAGAAAACCACAAATACGTGTTTTTGGGTCATGTGCATGAGACAGCCATTCATGATTCAGGATGAGGTGAGACAGTGCTCTAAACACATGGGTTAGATGACTGGTTTTACAAAGAAAGACCTCTGCCCCTATTGAACTTTTCTCTGCATCTACACTAACTCAATCCCAGGAATAATTTTCTATGTACCCATTGCCCTATCTACCTCCATTATAGTTCTTGCAACAGTTTCACCACTCCCACTTGTCTGTTTCTAAACATTTCCTTATAGCTTATTCTCCAATATATTTCTAATAGCACAGAGTCATTTAACCAATCCTCTAAAGCAGGGATTGGCAAGGTATAGCCCGTCGGCCAAATCTGGTCCATTACTTGCGTTTTGTAAATAAATACAAGTTTTATTAAAACACAGACATGCTCATTCTGTTATGGAATGACTAGGGCTGCCTTTACGTGAGAGTGGCAGAGGCAAGTAGTTGCAAAAAAGACAGGACGGCCCACAACTCTAAAATATTTATGATTTGGCCCTTTACAGAAAAGTTTGCAGACATCTGGTCTATATAGTTCTTACATAACTTTTACAGCATTTCTACAGGGATGTCTCTGGCCTTTTTGAGATATTTCCATCTATAAGAATACACTCTGTTCTGAGGCAGCCAGTTCTACCTTGGCCTGTTCTCATAAGGAATTGTTTTCCTTCTGTAGAGCAAAAGTTTGGTTCCTCAGAATTTCCATTCACTGGGTCTACCATTTAAAGAAACGTAGAAAGAAGTCTATGTTCTCTTCTACTCTCTTCTATCTGAGAGTCGTCAGAAACCCTCTCTTCTTGGAAAACCAGTTTGGTTCATTCAAGTACCTCCCTTGATCTTAGCTGCTAGTCCTCTCAATATCATGGTCATTACTCCCCCAATGTATTTCAAGTTCTCTGTTTTCCTCTTAATCTGTGGCACTCATTTAATGGCAAAAGTAGAGTAGAACGTGCCTTCCTCATTCAAGATACACTGTATTAACCAATGAAGCCTCCTCCCTGGGGAGTGATTCTGTCCTATTGCTGGTTATATCGATCTTATTTCCAATCAGATTTGGCATTGCTCAACATCTACAAAGCCATCCTGTACTTCCTGTGCTTGCACAGTTTTTTAAAGCTTAAGGAAATAATGTTATATTTGTTTTTCTTATATTTTACTCTATTACTTTTATCATATGACTCCAGACAAGCAAGTTCTTTGTTGGGTGCGCAGGTAAACTGTTATCTTTCAACTTCTCTGTTATTCAGAAATGTGATCAGCCTGCAGTAAAACTATTAAGAGTTGGACACAGATGAGAACAGGACCAAGAAGAAAAATCACTAGTAGAGACACACTAAATGTGCCAATAACTTCAGGGGAAGAAACTTTGTGGTGGACTGAAAGAAATGAACATGACAAGAGTTGTTGTTCATACATGGCCTCTCATTTGACACAGTGGATGGATGTGGGGCATTTTCCAATATGCCAAGCTGTTCCCACTACCTACTCAAACACCAGAACAGAACTCCATATGTGGGCCATGAAAACTACAAACACATACTCACCTAGTCTAATGGAAAACTCGTAAAATCTCTTTAGCCTCACAACGAGAGGGCACACTGCATTCCAAGCTTTTTCTTGAAGCTGAATGTCATTGGGATTTTGAATTGCCTACAAAAACACAGTAGCGCTGACTGTTTAAAAAGAAGCAGTAAGCTCCACATCAAAATGCCCTAAGATTTAGTTTAAAATACAATCCCTGCTATACTTTGCTGATGTATACTACTTAAATCAACACTGCTTCGTTGGACTGTCCTCTAACATGCTTATTCTGAATGGAAATTTTAACACTGAATACTACTTAAATCAACACCGCTTTAGTGGACAGTCCCCCAAGATGCTCATTCTGAATGGAAATTTTAACACTTGAACATACAGCAAGTGGTTCTACAATTACATCCTGTGTCATCTTACTTGTTTCTGTTATTTTGAATACAAAAAATTCACATCTAAGTGGGAAGAAACTCAGCCCTCTCCATCACCATTTGACTCCTCTAAAGTGGAATTAGTGCTCATTATAAAGTGCAAATTCTGTAGACATTTCCTTTCTCTTTAATAGGTATTGCATTCCAGCCAGTTTGTAATGTTACCTAAATTACCTAAATTAAATGGTGACCCCTAAGTAGAAAAATCACCTCTTACTAGACTGTTACTTTCTTAGAAACTCCACCGTGTCTGAGTTTCAGCAACTTGAGGATTATAATGGTGGTGGTGGTGTGCTTTTCAGAAGCATGGGGGCAGTGGCAGTACTGTGTGCATGCGTGCATGTGTACATGTGTGTGTGTATGTGTGTATTTGCATGCATATATGTGTGTGCTGGTATTGCCACAAAACTAATGCTTTCAAATAAAAAGAGTGTGAAGTTTCTTGCTTTTAAGGTATTGGGAAGTTGCAAAAATCAAAGTGGTGATTTTCTTTTTTGTTTTTGTTGTTGTTTTGTTTTCTGTTAATTTTAGAAAATCTCACAAGACATTTGAGATGACAAACTGAAAGCAAGGTGATTTTGGCTCTTGTGTATCACACTGGTGGAACCTGCCTGAGTAATTACCAAATGCCGGAAAGTACATGTCCACCCAGACTTCACGGTCCATATTTCAACTGTTGTTCACAGACTTTACATTGTTTACCTTAAATGAAATAATATATTGACACGTTATTGTTTAAATGTGAGTCCTGCAATATCACTTGTGTGTTTAGGAAGAGAATGGGTAATGTTAACCTATAGCACTGTGTGTGCAGATTAATGCATTAGAATAAAAGGGGCCATTCATGCTTTTTTTTAACTTTTTTTTTTTTTTTTTGAGATAGAGTTTCACTCTTGTTGCCCAGGCTAGAGTACAATGGTGCGACATGCAACCTCAGCTCACTGCAACCTCTGCCTCCCGGGTTCAAGTGATTCTCCTGCCTCAGCCTCCCGAAGTAGCTGGGATTACAGGCACCTGCCACCATGCCCAGCTAATTTTTTTTTGTAGTTTTAATTGAGATGGGGTTTCAACATATTGGCCAGCCTGGTCTTGAACTCCTGACCTGAGGTGATCCACCCACCTCAGCCTCCCAAGGTACTGGGATTACAGGTGTGAGCCACTGCGCCTGGCCCATGCATTTTGTTTTTAAGGACACATTACCCTCCTTGTTCTTCCTGGTACTCTAGGAAATACTATAGCTATTACTTAATCTTGCTGTGTATGTCTGTGTGCATGTGTGGTTTTCCCTTCGCTCCTCTGGTGTTGTCAGTTCAGTATGATCATTAACATACGTCTCGGATCTCTGGGCCTGCGCCTTTGTAAGCCTGCAGGTCTGCAAGGATGCTCTCAGAATCCTGAAGGACGGCGCTGATCTGGTTCCAGATTTCTCTCTCTCCTTCTGTAGGCTGAGCATCTAAGAAACAGGGAAACCGAGAGACACAGAATGCTGGTGTTTACAAATAGCTTGGGAGGAGGATGGATATTCAGTTTTACCTGCTTGACAATCCTATCGTATTCCTGCTGCTCTGGTATTTACCCTTTAACCTAATAAGCTGCTAGGAAGGGAAAACTGACACAACTTTTGCCCATTACTCAGTTCAAAATAGTCAATGATATTTTTATAGTCATAAAACAAGCATACAGGAATCATTGTAGTCACTTATTTATGTGGAACAATTTTTTTGCACACCTCCTATGTAAAACAATATACTGGGTGATAGAAAGAATAAACATTGTGTTCTTGAGACCACATTTTTTGGTCTTTTTATTATTTTTTCAATTACCATTTTTATTGTGGTTAAATACACAAAACATAAAATTTACCATCTTAGCCACTTTTAAGTGTACTGTTCATCGATATTAAATACATTCATAATGCTGTACAACCAACGCCACACTCCATCTCCGTGACTCTTTTCATCTTGTAAAACGGAAACTCTGTATTGGTCTTCTTTTTAAAGCAGAAACAACTGAATATTTCTGCTTTGATTGAAAATATGTGAATCTGAGTGTAGATGGGAAAAACAGTCTGCCTTATATTTCCGTATTTAAAAATATGCTTGAAAACTGGATAACTAAAACCCTTCAAATCACGACATATCATTCCTGAACACATGGGTGTGTAGAAAGCACTTCTCATTGAACCTGATCTCATGTTCAGGAGGTTTGGCAAAGACATGCAGGGAGTTCATTTTAAAGACAAATGTTCTGTTTTATCTTTGGTCTTGACCATGACTGTTACCCACAAAAATAAGTGATACACTGAAGCTTCCATAATGAAAACAATATTCTAACAGTCACAGAAGCACCCACTCGATTACCTTCCTGGAGCCAGTATGTATTGTTCCAGCGATCATTTCATGGGAGCTGGTAGGTGCTGGTGGAGAGGTAGTAAAGATTGGGTTTTATTTATCTTGCAGTTCCTATGCAATAGGTTATCTCCCCGGCCTAGTAGGGAAGCTCATCTCTCCATCTAAAACAAAGGCACTGCTCACGGAGAGGCGACAGATGTTATCTTGTAAAACTCTGTTTTCAAATCTCCAGATCCTGAGGCACTGCATGCTTGCAGCAGACCTCACTAACAGAGGGTGAAGGCTGAGTTTACACCTGGTCTAACCCTCCCCAGATCAAATCTCAGTTTTAACTAATCCTTGTGGAAGTACAAAGGGCTGGTCCTGCAAGACGGTTTTTCACCAGTGTTTCTCTGGGGGTAAAAAAAAGACACGGCCGGGCGCGGTGGCTCCCAGCACTTTCGGAGGCCGAGGTAGGCAGATCATGAGGTCAGGAGATTGAAGCCATCCTGGCCAAAATGGTGAAACCCCATCTCTACTAAAAATATAAAAATTAGCTGGGCATGGTGGTGCATGCCTGTAGTCCCAGCTACTTGGGAGGCTGAGGCAGGAGAACTGCTTGAATCCTGGAGGCAGAGGTTTCAGTGAACTGAGATCACATCACTGCACTCCAGCCTGGCAACAGAGCGAGACTCCATCTCAAAAAAAAAAAACAAAAAACAAAAAACAAAAAAACAAAAAAACCCCAGAATCCACAAGGTAAGTGACGGCGAAGTGGGGCACTGGCTATGCTGACTTGGTGTTCGGAAATGCCGAGGTAAGAGGAGGAACTGAGGCAAGGTGGCTGCTCCTGTTTCAGTTACCTAAACTCACCATGACTGGAGCCCATGGAGATTTTTAGACTAGTTGACTCACTGGGTCCTGCCTAAGACCTAAGAAACTGATAGAGTTTCCTAAGAAATGAAGAGTGAAAATCATCAGTGCCATGGCAATTCTCTTTGAAGAAAAGATCATAGGTCCTCATAGGTTATTCAAAAACCTTGCAAACTATACATTCAAAGGATAAGACCATTTCAACTGGGAAGTAAGGAGGTACTAGAATGCATGTGCATCAGGACTCAGAGAAAGAGAAGATGAATGTGGTCTGGGAAGAGTGGAAACAGTTACACGTAAGGGATAGGACTTGAGCTGGGGCAATGGAAGGTGAAACGGAGTATATTCATGAAGAGAGCACGGCTTGGAAAAAGGCACGGCAGCTGGAGAAAGTGAGGCTGAGAAACAGACAACAAACAAGCAAATCTGCTAGGTTAGGAAACAGAATCTACTGGAGACAGTGAGGGAAAAAGACATTTATTACAGGTTGAGCTTCCTATATCCAAAAATCTGAACTGCTCCACCATCTGAAATGTTTTTAAATGCCCCCGTGGTACACAAAGAAAAGTCTCACTGGAGCATTTTGCATTTCGGCTTTCTGGATTTGGGATGCTCAACTGGTAAGTATAATGCAGTTTCGTTTCAAAATCAGAAACAAAAATCCCACGTCTGAAACACTTCTGGTCCTAAGCATTTTTGGATAAGGGGTATTCAATCTGAACTTTTTTAGGTTTTTATGGCCTATCAGTGTTTCCCAAAAATATCTGGTAAGTTTTCTCAGATACGATGTTACTCACAATATTAATCACTTTGAATTTTACCGTTTTCTGCTTTCTCAAACTTTTCTCAAAGTGAAGCAAGTGTTTTAAACAGAAACCAAAAACTCTGTAAGCTAGGAAGCCCATAACGGGAGAAAGTGTTTTTGTAGAATAGAATTCCCGAGTAAGGCTGGCAGTTTCTGATAAGAAAAGTGTCAGGGAAGAAAACATAAGGAAAAATGCAAAGCAATGATCCTAGAAAACAAATAAAAATAAAACACTGACTATTCAAATCCTTTCTCCTTTTTTAAAAATCAAAAGCTAAACAAAGACAGTTTCCTAGAGATGGATTTATTTGGAGAAGAAGAAAAGCAAGATAGTCTGTGACCAAGATTCTCAGGGCTAAGACTATTTGAATGTAATTATAGAATGGTATGGGAAAGAAGGAGGCACTTTGAGGCCAGAACAGAAAGCCTTCTAATCTCAGCTGTCACCTGGCTCCACCCTAGCAAGTCACCACTTGATAAGTTTTAGACAAAACAGAATTAAAACTAAGTAAGCCAGAGAGGAGAGCTGGAAATTTTTTTTAAAAAATCCTGTTGATGATTACTTAAACAGAAAAAAAAGAAAGATTTCAAGTCAGTCTTTAAAAATAGAGGCCTTTCTTAACTGTTTCAAAAATAAGACTGTTTCTGATAGGGTGGCCTGAAAAAGGTACTGGCACTAGAGACAAACAAACTGCGCTCTCCATCCCAGGTGAAGGGGTCCTTTCAACAAATCAACATTGACATTTATATGACCACAGAGTTGCATGAGTAACCAGGGGGCTGGTACCACTTCTCTCCCAGAGGAGGCGGACTTCGGGGGCTGTGGTAAACAAATACCTTCCATCCTACAGTAATTCTCTCCTGGCAGCTGGGGTGATCTATAAGACAGGAACCTCAGTCCTCAGCCTCCCTCTCTAAGAAACTGTTTCTTTTGGCAGATTTCCTGGTCCCTATTAGAAATATTTCTCATGCGGTTTAGCAGTGGTGGGATGCGGTAGGAGAAAGCCACTCCAAAATTTCCGTCTTTCATCCAGGCTTAGAAATATGTTGCCTCATTTTCATCCAAAATTTGTTGGTTTTATTGGATGTCCAATTTCTTCCTTCTTTCCTGTCATGAAACTGAAGTCACCTCTTCCAGCTATAGACGGGCAGCACAGTTCCTGCCTTACGGGCCAGAGTGCTGTAAGATTCTCAGGGGATTCAAATCACAAGTGGTGTCAGCTTCCAAGGAAGAGAGTGACAACTGGGAGAAGCTCTAGTCTGTCTGTCTGTCTGTCTTTCTATCTGTCTGTCTCTCTTTTCAAATGGGAAAAGAACTGTGTGGTCCACAGTGACATGTGACATTGGTCTAAATCCCTATGGAAGTCCATGATTCATTCTATTTTCATTCCCCAGCTAAATGATCATACAGTCAGAACTAATTAATGAAAATCTTATCCATTAGACTGTAGGACTCTGGTCATATTTGTTTCACTTGACATTGTATTTCTAGGGTCTGGCACAGGGCCTAGCACATAGTAGATGCTCAAGAAAAATTTGCTGAACAGTTGAACAAATAATTTAAATATACTACTCACACTGTTTTGTGATATTTTTTTCTGCTTGTCTTTGAATTCTGAGATCTTTTGAGAAAGCCATTGGAGACAGGCAATAAACGTGCGATGAATCAATGAATACATGAAGAAATTGGTAAGGTGGGATAGAACGCTGGGTACTTGAAAGCAGTGTAGTAAGTAAAGGTCCTATTACGTTTAGATCCTGTCCTCTGTCTCTACTCCCAAAATGACTTTATTTTATTTTTTTAATGACAGGATCTGGCTCTTTCACCCAGGCTGGAATGCAGTGGTATCATCATAGCTCACTGCAGTCAAATGGCTCTTGTATGGTTACATCTCTCCTGGTTACCATTAAGATGTAGGTATTTACCTACAGTCAGATTGGCCATCCACTCTTTCATTAACATCTATGTTCTCAAGTCATCCATTATTGATCTATGGCCTGAATGTCTCATGAGTGTGGTTAACACACTAATAGGGTATTTGTTGAGTCTGCCACAGTGAAAAACTGCACTTATGTTTACTTTTTAAATCAGAAAACTGTTATCATTTTGCCATCTGGAGAATCCCTTTGAGAGGCTTTGGAGTCTGCACTTGGCCTTCTCCATATTCAGATTCAAGTGGTGAACATGTTTTTAAAATTTATTGTGTTTTCAGATGTCATGGGAAGACATCTTGAAAGGAACCCTGAAGAATTAGTGATTGAAAAGGTTACTAAATTTAAGCTATCAGCAACCCCTTAAAGCATCTGCTGAGTGAACAGGAACTCTGAACTGTGAGCTTGGCTTTTCTATTTTTAATACAAAGACTGACCTTTAGTCAAAGAAAGGTACAAACACTCCTCACCACACACACACCAACAATGTTATTGGTGAAAAGGGGTCCTTAT